ATTATTTAATTATAATACTAAATATTTATTATTAAAAAGTTGCACATGAAAAAAAATATCTGGCAGTAGCTGACGAAGAAGGAACAGTAGGATTAATTGATACAAGATATGATAATACAGTTGAAACTGGTAATTAATAAAAAATATATATAATAGCAGTGGTATTAGTAGTATTAGCAATAATAACATCTTTTGTATCAATTATTAATTGATAATAATCTTAAAATATCAATTAACTTTTAGAACGGATTCGAATTGAATTCCGTGCTCATGATAATGCAATCTTTGATATTATGTGGAGCCATGATGATAAATCTTTGGTACTTTTAAATATAAAAATCATGAAATGCTAATAATTAAAGCCATTAATGAAAATTCCCAAAAAATCTAATTTTTTTGAATTAAAGGTTACTGCCTCAGGTGATCAAACAGCACGTTTATGGGATGTAGAATCTCAGCAACCTAAAGCAATATTATGTGGACATACATGTAGTATTAAATCTATAAGCTATAGTACCTTGAATCCATGTTTATGGTCAACAGCTTCTAGAGATGGTAACATATTTATTTGGGACATAAGGACTGTAGGGCTTCAAAACTTTGGAGCAATGCTTTATAATCCTGCAATGAGCATACAATTTGCACACTCATTAGAATCTCATAGGAGAAGAAAATCCTGCTCATTTCCTGTAAGGAGTAAACCAACAAGTAGTGTTACTGGAGTGCAATTTTTAAAACATGATGAAAATTTATTGGCATCATCAGGAGCACTTGATAGTATTATAAAATATTGGGATTTGAGAAAACATTCTGGTCTAAGGAATGCAAACCCAGTTCAAGTATCAATTAGTGGAGCTACAGCAATACGTCCTCATGGTAAGAAATCTGATTTCTTCTTTACATTATCCATATAATTTTAAAAAATTAATTTGAAGATCTAATTTTAAAAAACAGGTATATCAGCCTTATTAATAGATAATGATGGTTCAAAATTATATGCAAATAGTACCGATCATTAGTAAGTCTTTTTTTAACAATGACTACAAAGTATATATATATATTTATTTACATATTGATTGTATTTTATTTTAGTGTTTATGTGTATGATTCAATGAATTTAGGTGAACCATTAACTCGATTCACTGCTCCAGAATTTCGATGTTCATCATTTTATGTTAAGATGGCAATCTCACCCAATGATCAATATCTTGCTTGTGGATCAACTGACAAGAATATATATATTTGGGAAGTAGATTATCCTGATGTGAGTCCAATTGTATTGAAAGGTCATGATAATGAAGTCACAAGTTTAAGTTGGTCAAAAGACTTTGATATAGTAAGATTCATATTCATCACAATGGGGGTTTTTTTTAAAAAAAAAAATATTTTAATGTCAGGAACAGTTTCTTTGTTATAAAGGTTATTTTTGCTGCTGTTGTCAGCCCGAGATAATATATCTGTTAATGGAGTTCGTGGTGTTAAGTAAGAAAGAATACTATTATTATTGGCTTCAGCAGCATTTTTATATGATTGTCTTTTACGACGATGTATGTTTTCAGACATTTTGTTTTGCGTAAATTAGTGTTGGAACACTTGTAGATATAATTAATTCAACGCGTATTACGTTGTTATCCATTTTCTCGAAGTTTTATAAATTTTCTGTGGTAAGTGTCAAGGAGAATTTAATTAATTCGTGAAGGAAAGGATCTACATATTAATAGTAAAATTTCTGGATGACAAAGAATTTTTTTGATACATAATAATAATAATAATATTTGGTCAGGGGAAAATAATAAAATCTAAAAAAATGAAGAATCATTTAATAATATTAATTTGTTTTATGATAATAAGTTCTTGTACTTTTAATACAATATTATGTTCTCCTGATTTAGCTAGTGGAAAATATTTCGATAGGTAAAGAATTCATTAATGTCATTTATGATTAATTATTATTAAAATAATATTCCTCTTCTTGTTATCATAGAGTTATTACAATTGTTTTAGAAAATACTGATTATACTGAAGCAATTAAAGATAAATATTTATCATACTTGGTAATAATAATAATTTTTTGGGAAATTTAAATATTATATATATGTACGTATGTATGTATGTATGTATGAGAGAGATTTATTAATATACTAGAAACTCATTCATTCATATTATGAAAGGCAAATCAGGGAATTTTATTATCAAATTTTCATGGAGTTTGGCATCCTTCACAACCAAATTATATTGCAATGATCCGTGGTTCAAAAGGTGGTGTCGTAAGTAGAGTAATAATTTTATATGTGTTGTTTTAATATTTACGCAATTAATTAAATGATTAATATATTTAATAGATTACAAATTTTTTGCAAGATGTTAACGGCCCTTCACTTCCGGAACTATTGGAGGCAGGAGGGATTTCATGGAAAGCATATATTGAAAATTATCCTGGTAATTAATTAATAATCATTATTATAATAATGACAGTAATGATAATATTAACAATATAGCAATTACATCATATTTATAGGTGGTGGATTTGTAGGAGAAGTGTCAGATGATAAATTATATTATCGTAAACATAATCCTTTCATTTCAATGACCAATATTAGAACTAACCCATCACTAATTAGCAAAATTGTGAATGCTGATCAATTAATAAATGATTTATCGTCATCAAACAATTCAATAATGATTCCTCAATATATATTTTATATGTATGTATTTAGTATATATTTACCTTATTTTTCATTTGTTTATTGGTGGGAAATTTGTTTTTATATTAAGAATGTTATTAATTATAATTTTATTCCTTCACAACAAAAAAAGCCCTAATATTAATAATAGTGGATTGA